ATCTCCATTGTCGCACTCCAAAATCAGTCTATCCTGAAATCTGGGAAATTACCTCATCACAATGATCGCCAGTAGTAATGCATTACCACCGCCACTATACGGGGTAGTTTGTGATATAAATGTGGAACATCACGTACCCATCAAGCAGCGAGCTCGTCGGATCCCAATCCGATATCTCCAGAAGCGCTATGAGCTGCTAAAAGGACTGTTGAAAGCGAACCTCGTGTCGTTTTCCGACAGTCAGTGGGCTTCACCAATTGTGATAGTCCTGAAGAGGAATGGGGAAGACATCCAATTATGCATTGACTATAAAGTGGTCAACGCGGTCACAGCCATAATGGAGTATGCTGACGCTTTGCTTACGAACCTGGACTCCTATATCTGGTTCTGCTCACTCGACGCAGCGAGCGGATTCTGGGCCATCATGATGACGCATAGAGCTCGCAAGATATCAGCATTTGTTTACCCACTGGGGCATTTCGAATGGCTCCGAATGCCATTCGGACTTAAAAATGCACCGATGATCTACCAGCGCATGATAGATAATGCACTATGGGGATTCGTGCAGCCAAAGGGTGTATGGCGAAGTTTCGCAGACAAGATGACAGCTGCGGAAGATCTCGCGAAGAGTCAAAAAGAGCATAGTGCCGAACACTCTGCCAAGTCATGGGGTGATCCACCGATAGTCAACACCAAGTTTGCAGCAGCTCGAAAAGATGTGGAAAATCAAGACCCTGTATTGAAGTTAGTGAACGAGCTGACGTCTGACATGTTCGTAACAAATGAAGTTGATGAATCAACACTCGTACCAGTCTTCGACGGGAGGTCATTCGTTGACGATATCTGTTTTGGAGGAAAGACATTTGACGACTCCCTTACGACTTTAGATCGTCTCTTGGCTCGATTCACAGAATGCTGTATCAGCATCAGCTTCGCCAAAAGTATATTTGTTCAACCACGAGGCGAATTCCTTTCTCACGAAGTATCGCACGAAGGAATTCGAGCTAATGCTAAGCAGTTAGCCGCAATCACTAGCCTACCGTTTCCACGCACAAAGAGAGAGATGCAATCCTTCTTAGGGGTTTTGAACTACTACAGTAGATTCATACAAGACTTTGCAGTCTTCGGTGCAGCACTATACCAACTAAAAGACAATGATTTCGAGGAAGACGGTGACCTAACGACATCACGCCGAAGTTTCGACATGCTAAAACAAAATGTAGCCGAAGATCCGATTCTTCGGCACTTCGACAGAACAAAGGAAGTTCATATCATTCCCTTCGCCAACCGATGGGCATTGAACACACTCTTCTTCAACTGCATGAGGACAAACTTCATCCTGTGCGGTTCTGTGGTCGAGTTATGAAAGACGCGGAGATGAATTATCCCCCTGCGGAGAAGGAGGTGTTAGCACTGCTACTTTTACTGAAGACTAGTTATACACAACTCGCTGGTCGCACCTTACATGTGTACACTAGATTCTCAACGTTGGAATGGATAACCAAATCCAAGTCACTCTTCGGGAGAGCGGTCCAATGGGCGGTGCTGCTATCGCCTTGGCACCTGATTGTCCAGTGGATTAAAGAAAAGGATTGCGCTTTCACGAGATTGCTCCGGTCCACGGTAACGAACTTTGTGGATATTGATGACTCGTCGGAACTGATAGCTCCACCTCAGAAGGGATCTCCGACTGCTCGGATAGACCCACAACTTCTCTATGCCAAGCCTCTCGATTATTCAGGACTCGTCGTATCTTTCGACGGCTCAGCGAACACTGAGAAGATCGGAGGATATGGGAGCTGTGCATGGGTGGTGTGGCGTCTATCTGAATGGACGATAGTGCTTGCTGCGAGTGCGTACCTGGAGTCAACAACGGTGAATGTAGCAGAATACACCGAGATGAACAAAGGAGTGAAAGCGGCACTAGAACTGGGTGCCAACAATTTGGTGGTTGTGGGTGACTCCAGGCTTGCAATCCAGCAATCCCTAGGGGGATTGCATGCCGAAAGGAGACGCTCATGGCCCAATTGAACTACCACAAGGAACTGACATCAAAGCTAAAGTCAGTTAAGTACCTTCATATTCTGAGAGAATTCAATGCAGCCGCAGACTCACTAGCGACTGAAGCACTGAAATCGAAAACATCAAAAGTAGTGTTAGACGAAAGCCGAAAACTCGAGTTAGCAGGACTCAATCGCATCCGAGAAGTGATCTACGACTCCAGCCAAACCAAAACGGAAGTAAAACCCGTTGCTGAAGACTCAACTCAAATTATGAGCACAATCTCAGCCTCTCAGTCCAAACCATTTGCAGGCTTTGTCCAGACAACTCAGAAACAATCAACGCGCTATATGTTGGCCGTGACAAGGAGCCAAGCAACAACTCAGTAGAAGCGTGCGCGTTTTGCCGACGAGTCAGTGGCAATCCCTGAGGCAACCATACCAAAACCAATGTCGATAGAGGATACAGAGAATGCGCCAGTGATTCCTACGAAAGCTGGGGCAAACGCACTCAGTACGGTACCAGACGCTAGTGACGTCGATCCAGCGGCGATACAAACAGAGCGACGACGGAGAATCGCTATCGCCCAAGATGAAGAGCTAAAATGGCTTAACCTGAAAAAGGTGTTACGAGGAAACTCGGACAAATTTAAATATAGAGCTACTCGAGACGCGTGGAAGATTGCAGACCGATTTCTCCTGACTGGCGACAATGTGCTATACTATATGCACTCGAGTCCTCGGAACCAAGAAGACAACCAAGAAGAACTGAGACTGCGGCTAGTAGTTCCAACTACGATGATCTAGGAGGTTCTTCAAAACAACCATGACTCATTGGAAGGTGGACATCAAGGTGTAGTGAGGACATACCAACGAGTGAGGCAAAATTATTACTGGTTTGGCCTTTATGCAGACGTCGAGAAACACTTGAAATCGTGCCCAGATTGTAGTTCAAGTAAGGGCAAACTACGGCTTTTTTTCTAGCCGAGCGACCATTCCAGATTGTGTCGATGGACTTCGTAATTCCGTTGCCGAAATCTCGGCGAGGTAACACTGCGCTGCTGCTATTCCGGTGTACTTTCACTGGGTTTGTCGTTGCTAAACCAATGTCGGACACCACAGCATTCAAAGTCGCTCAGGTATTTGATGAATGTATTTACCGATGGTTCGGGGCACCGTCGTTAATAAACCATGATAGGGACCCCCGCTTTATGAGCAAAGTAGTCCAAGCGTTTGCCGAGATGATGCAGTCAAGATCGAGAGCAACTCCGAGTTATCGACCAAAAGCCAACGGGCAGGAAGAAAGATCAGTTAAAACGGTAATGCAGTCCGTAAAAGGCTATGCCGAAGACCCACTTCAGCAAGACTGGAACGAGATTGCAGAGCATCTAGTTTTCGCCATCAATAACTCAATGGACACCACCAGGAAGGAAATGCCTTTCTACCTAGCCCACGGATGGGATGCCAGTTCGACAATGAAGGTGATGACGACGTCTCTTCGACACGGAACTTCGAAGCAGTCCGAAGGTTTAGCGTGGCGACGGGAAGTCAACCGATAACAGGAATTTGCGTGGTGAATGGCCAAAGAATGTCAGCATAACGAAACGTCACGAAGAGCAAGACTTCACAACAATGCGCTAAGTAAAATGGAGAAAGCGTCATTGCAGCACGAGGAAGCAGAGGACCCGACGCGCCAATACGGCGATGACTCAACGACCCAATCAAAATCGAGTAAGAAGAAGTTGTCCGAAGCGGGAAGTCTAGCCTGGCTCTACATAGAAAGAGTCAAACCAGGACTCACGAAGAAGCTCGCTCATCGGTGGCATGGACCATTTCGCATCTAGAAGAAAGTGGACGAAATTGCCTTTGAATTGGAACTCCCAAACAAGAGTGGCTACCGGTTCTGCCCAGTAGTACATATCTCAAGGTTGAAGCCAGTGAACGAATTCTCTAGTTGACCTACGACTCAACTAGCACCCGAAGTAGCCGAAGATTCACGAATGGATTTTGACGAGGCGCTCCTTCCCGAAGATTCATGGGAACCAGACCACATTGCGGGAGAATACGAAGTAGAGGCCATTTTGGCTGACCGAAGGCCACTTCAAACCAGTACCGAGAAGTCGGTGAGAGAATTCAAAGTAAAGTGGGTCGGGTACGACGAACCAACATGGGAGCCAGCGTCACATCTTTCCTGCTGTGGGCTCTTTTATGACTACTTGCAGCGAAAAAAGAGTGGACACCGCTTCTACATGGTTCAAGTGGCAGACAAAAATTAGCCGCCACATCAACACACGGAATGATGTGAGGTCTGGGCAATGCAGCCCAGAACACACAGACGAAAACCGCTACTGCACCAATTTATATAACTTATATGCTATGAATGATGAACGCAAAGGTTAAATGGAAAATGGAATTAAGAAAGAAAACACCATTCAAGCCGACAACTGACACGAAGTGATTTGGAATTTCTCAGGGAAACAAGAATTTGTATG